ACAGATTTATCTTTTTCCAGTTACAGATTTATCTTTTTCCAGTTACATCACTCTCCTCCCTGTAAAGTCTGTTCAGGGGTTCTGGAGAAGAGAGTCCTATCGTTGGTTGAACCTCAGATCCAGGAGGAACAATGCAGGTTCTGTCCTGGCCGTGGAACACTGGACCAGCTCTTTACCCTCACTGGGGTCCTTGATGGGTCATGGGAGTTTGCCCATCCAGTCTACATGTGTTTTGTGGACTTGGAGAAGACATTTGACGGTGTTCCTCAGGGTACACTGTGGGGGGTGCTCAGTAAGTCGGACCCTTCAGGGTGGGAGTTGGACTCCTCCAGGGCTGCTCGTTCTCACAGATTCTGTTCATAACGTTTATGGACAGAACTTCTCGGTGCAGCCAGGAGGAGGAGGGAGTCCAGTTCTGTGGCCTCAGGATTCATCTCTGTTCTTTGCAGATGATGTGGTCCTGTTGGCGTCATCGTGCCGTGATCTTCAGCTCTCACTGGAGCGGTTCACAGCTGAGTGTGAAGCAGCTGGGATGAGGATCAGCACCTCCAGATCTGAGACCATGGTCCTCAGTCAGAAAAGGGTGGATTGATCTTCAGGTCGAGGGTGAGGTTCTGCCTCAAGTGGAGGAGTTCAAGTATCTCGGGGTTTTGTTCACGAGTGAGGGAATAACGGAGCGTAAGATCGACAGACAGATTGATGCAGTGTCTGCAGTATTGTGGACTCTGTGCCGGTCCGTTGTGGTGAAGAGGGAGCTGAGCTGTAAGACAAAGCTCTCGGTTTACCGGTCGGTCTACGTTCCTCCCCTCACCTCTGGTCATGAACTCCGATTAGAGACTTAAAGAATGAGATCGTGGATCCAGGAGGTTGAGATGAGTTTCCTCTGCAGAGCTGGACTCTCCCTCAGAGACAGGGGGAGAAGTTCAGTTATCAGGAGAGACTGTGTCTCTTGGTTGACACCTCCCTGTTCTGATGCTGCCCCGAGACCCGACTTCAGAACAAGTGGAAGATGATGGATGATGGATGGATGGATGATGAATGGATGGATGGATGATGAATGGATGAATGGATTCATCAGTTTTAAATTAAAATACAAAAACTACAAAGTTACCAGATAATTATCTGTGACCTCGTTAACAAACAGTTCAATTGTCTGGAGTGACGTCATTTTGATCAGATTTGTTTCATCTGATGAGAAGCTGCACTCAACCTCTGACCGGCGAGATATGCTGTAACTGTGTGTCTGTTAGCAAAATATCTCATGAACCTCTGAATGAAACTCTTTTCCCTGGTTTGAGTTTGAACATCTTCAACTTGGAGTCAGCCTAATTCAAGATGGCTGCCGCAGCTAATCAACCTGAGCTCAAATAACAGTAGCTAAAATTCAGCCACATTTACAGCTGAAGTTTGGTGTTACAGCTGATCTGGACTGGAGCAGAACCCAGGACAGAACCAGAACTCCTCATAAGGGACTTCAAGGAGTTCTGAGACCAGCAGAGTGAGTCCCAGCTCTTCCTGAGAGTGTCCTCTCAGTGAGACATGTCTTCCTCAGGGTGTCCTGTCTGTGGGACACGTCTTCCTCGGGGTGTCCTCTCAGTGGGACACGTCTTCCTCGGGGTG